CCCACAGTTTCGGGGTCTCTCTGTGCCCGTCCCCACAGGCAGTGGGGTGCAGGCAGCTCTCCCACGCACGCAGGGCAGCCTTGAAGCTCTGAGGCAGCGGAGGCGGCATCTTCCTGCCCCTCACCACCCTCATCCGACCTCAGAGGCCGCTGGCTCTGCGCCCTGGGAAACTCCGAGACACCACGTCTCTGACTCGGCTCTGCTGCCTCTTTGTTCCTGCAGGCTGGCACGGGGTGAAATGGCAGCCTCCTCCTCCTCCTCCTCGGCCGGCGGAGTCAGCGGCAGCTCCGTGACAGGGTCGGGGTTCAGCGTTTCGGACCTGGCACCGCCTCGGAAAGCCCTCTTCACTTACCCCAAAGGAGCTGGGGAGATGCTGGAAGGTGATTGCTCCTGCCCTCCTCCAAGTTGTTGAGCTTGGCACCCTGCTGCCTTTTTGGACTTTAGCTGGCAAAAGCTGGAGGGAGAAAGGAAGCACCAGGGTCCCGAGCAGCCCCACCTTTCCCACCAGTTGTTCATGAGGAAACGATTTTTCTGGCAGTCACCTGTTTTTTAGCTCCATGACAACACTTCAGACGAGGAGGGGATCTACTGCAAGGGAACATGAGGGTGTTAATTGCTCATTGTTAGCTAATCCTTTGATGTCAGGCAGGGATTACTGTGAGGATAGCTGAGGCAGGAGTATTTTTCTTGGTTTGGGTTGGATTTGACTGGGCTAGTACAGGAGGCAGCTTGTATCCCTGCCAGCTTGTGTCTGGGTGCCCGAGCCCTTCCCTCTGTTGGGATTGTGGAAGGAGGAGCTGGGCATGCTGCAGCTGCTCTGGGTGAGGGAGGAAGGGCAGAGTTAAACCAGAGTCTGTCTGTCTGTCTGTTCCCCTCAAACTTCCCGTGTCACCACGGAGCACTTGTCTGTGTGAACCTGAGATCCAGTGGGATGGCTGGGACTGAGCCTGGGGTGTCCCCATGGCAGTGCAGGGCAGCTGGGAGCTGATGGCTGTGCCGTTGAAGGGCTGTTTTTATTACACATTAGAGCCCATATGCCAGGCTATTGAAGTAATTATGACTAAAGGCTTGCTCATAGAACTTAACGAGCCCTCAAAACAAATTAAAGTAATGAAGCACTTCATGTTACCAAATAGACAGGCAGCTGTTCCTCCCCAGAGCCACTCGGCAGGACAGGCAGGGAGTCAGAGGAGAGAATCACAGAACTGTAAGGCAGGAAAAAGCCTCCGACATCATGGAGTTCAACTTGTGACTGATCACCACCTTACAACTGGAGCATTGAGTGCTGTGTCCAGTCATTCCT